CTTCCAGTGTTGGAGCATTCACCGCTTCTGGAGGCAGGTTGTTCCACTGATTAATTGTTCTAACTGTCAGAAAATTTCTCCATAGTTCTAGGTTGCTTCTGTCCTTGATTAGTTTCCATCCATTGCTTCTTGTCCTGCCTTCAGGTGCTTTGGAGAATAGCTTGACTCCCTCTTCTTTGTGGCAACCCTTGAGGTATTGGAACACTGCTATCATGTCAGCCCTACTCCTTCTTTTCATTAAATTAGCCATACCCAATTCCAGCAATCATTCTTTATGTTTTAGCCTCTAGTCCCCTAATCATTTTTGTTGCTCTTCTTTGTACTCTTTCTAGAGTCTCAACATCTTTTTTACATCATGGTGACCAAAACTGGATGCAGTATTCCAAGTGTGGCTTTACCAAGGCATTGTAAAGTGGTATTAACACTTCATGGGATCTTGGTTCTATCCCTCTGTTAATGCAGCCTAGCACTGTGTTGGCTTTTTTGGCAGCTGCACCACACTGCTGGCTCATATTTAAATGATTGTCCACTAGGACTCCAAGATCCCTCTCACAATTTTCTGTATTTATATAGTGCCAAATTAGAAAAAAAAAATCCAAGCAGTTATTAAAAATAATACATTAAACCATGACTTAAATCCCAAATTCAGAAAATTAAAAAATAAAATTACCAATTAAAAACAGAATTTAAATGGCAAGAAAAAAATGAAAAACAGTGCATGGCAGATAAGCTGAGTCTTAACAAATGTCCTCTACTTAACAGCTCTATGTGGCGCTCATGTGACAATTGTGCCTTTTGGGAATGTTTCAGATTATAGGAAAAAGGGTTGTTGTATTTGATCACGGAAACTAAGTCACACTATTTCTACAGTGATTTAAATTTAGGTTTTTTCCATGTGTCTCCATTCAGAAATCAGTCATGTTATCTTCTTGATTGCTGCTGATTTTGAAACTCAGAAAACATTTTCAACCCCTCAGCTTTCCCCTACAGTTGACCAATAGGAAAGAGCAAACAAAATGTTACCTGTCCCACCCCTGAACTTTGTAGAACCTTCCAAAACAACCTTGTCCTTGCCAAAACTCCATAACACATGAAATTAAAAATAAAATAAAATGGTAGCAATCTCTCCCTGGCAGGTTTTCAATGCATGTCTCCGTGTTTGGTACCAGGAAACGCTACCTCGGTATCATGCCATCGCTGAGTTTAAAGTCCTCCTGAGTGATATGTTGAAAAAGGACAAACACGGGAGAAAGTGCAGTTGAGGAACAGGTAATAATTCTTATTTAAAGAAATACTATCCTAGGAGGCCTATTACTGATACACTTTTTCCTCAGTGTTTTAATTTATTTTTTTGTCACCATTTGAGAGTACAAGAGATTATAAGGCAGACACTCTTAGAAAAACCTATCTGAGCATGACAGGAATAGGATTTACTGTACAAAGTCCTGGAACAAAATGCAGCACATTTAAAGCATATTTTTTTACAATCCAAAGTTAGTTGCTAAATAATGGGCTAAACCAGTGGTGGCGAACCTATGGCACGCGTGCCAGAGGCGGCACTCAGAGCCTCTCTGTGGGTACACGCACCATGCCCTGGAGATGGCAACCATCCCTCTTCAACCAGGCACCCGCTAACTCGCCGAGGTCCCATGTGGCCGGATGCATCCCAGCACAGCTGGTTTCCCTCCCCCCTCCGTCCCATCCCTCCTGGCCTCACATGCTCTCCTTTTCCTGGGCACGACCCACTGCATCGCCTCCTCAGCTGTCGACTGGCCGTTCAGCTCAGAGGCGGCTTCTCTGAACTGCTGGTGGCGGGCTGCAGAGCCCCAGAGTGTGCCGGTCAAGGGGCTGGCCAGCTGTGACTGCTGATGGACACTGTCGGTCCCCATGCGCTTGCTGGCCTCTGTGTGCGGGGGCCGATGGTGTCAGGCAGCAGCCATCCCAGCCCCTGCCTCGCCTTGCCCTGTGACAATGGCCTCGCCCTGCCCTGCCTCGCCTTGCCTCACCTCACCTCACCAGACAAGCCTCCTGCCCATCGCCTGCTCACCCCACAGGACAAGCCTCCTGCCCATCGCCCCACCTGCCAGCCCGGCCCCCCACAGGCGTCCCTCCCCACGAGCAACATCGAGGAGACCACGCCCACCTTGGCCACACCCATCCAGTCTGCCATGACCACCACAGCCACGCCCACCCAGTGGGCCATGCCCACCTGGCACCGGTGATAAATAAGTAGGTTTTAGGTTGCAGTTTGGGCACTCAGTCTCTAAAAGGTTCACCATCACTGGGCTAAACTCTCTTGTGTTTTCCAATTTGCTATTAAGCTATTACAAAAGCCATGAATCTTGGATCAGATAGTCATCCAAAAAACCTGATTTTAATATTTAGAATTCTTGATGGAATAAAATGTTTGCTTTTCCTCTCTGGGCTTGTTTAGATAGTATAATTGGAATCCTAATTTCCTGCTTATTTATCCCTATTACTTTAGCAGAGTTTTATCCAAAAAGCACAGAAGGCAAAAAAAAGAAAAAACAAACATTGAAATTATATAAAAACCTTAAAAATATTGATCAAAACCCAACTTTCAAAAATATTTATTTCAGGTATTTTCCCTGCTCTGTGCAGATTCAGTTTACAGAAGGCTCAAATTTGGGCAGAAAGTGAATCACAACCTGGACAGATTTCCCCTTGGGCTCTTTTCACAATTGTTTCATTGAACCTGGACTTTTGGGAACAGAACCACTGAGATCCTTGACTTCTTGGGTCAATCACTGTTCCCACAGGACCCACAGACTGTTTCTATGGGAAAAAATAAAATATGGCAGAAGTGGATTGTGAATCAGCTTTCATCTTTGGGCTGCTACTACTTTCCTATTTGTCCCTAAGCCTATTTCTGGTGCCAAACTAAATTGCAACATAGGTTGAATTCTAGGCAAAAAGTAGCAAATGTGCCTTTTAAAAATTCTGTTTTCCCCATCTCTCTTTTAAATCAAAGAACCCAAAGAAGAAGTATATTGCCAACATTGTATAGCAAAATCTGGAATGAAAGGTTGCACAAGAGCCATCAATTGTTTCACTACCTACTGGGGTAGGAATAGGTGTGGACCTGGATCCCAGCCACCAGCTTGCTTTCTACACCCACTGAATTCATAATTTTATCTTCATATGTATTAATGTTTTGCAGAAGAGATAACATTATTGTCAGACATGCATTTACTACCAAATAACAGCAATGTTACTGACTTTTCTGAAAGAAGCATTATTTTATACTAAGGTGTCATGAAAAAGCTGCACAGAACATAGAGCATGGTAAGAATTTCAATTCATGGAAAAGAAATTAAAAGACTTGTAAGAAGATCATCTATCTCAGTGGTTCTCAACCTTTTTAATGCCACGACCCCAACCGGTCGTAAGTCGAGGACTAAACCGGTCGTAAGTCGAGGACTAAACCGGTCGTAAGTCGAGGACTACCCAACCGGTTGTAAGTTGAGGACTTTCCCTGCCCGGGAGCGCCGCGCATGCGTGGTTCCACCCCCTGCGCCGGCCGAGGCGTAGCTGACAAGCGGCAGAGACGGAGCAGGCCGACCACCAGCTGGCCCAGCCCAAGGGAGGTAAGGCACCCGCCGGAAAAGGGGGAAAAATGCCGGACAAAAAAAATGCCGGACAAAAAAAATGGCGGACAGCCTTGCTTGGCGACCCCCATGAAATGGCCGATCGACCCCAAATGGGGTCCCGACCCACAGGTTGAGAACCACTGATCTATCTGTTATCTAAATTATTTATATAATCACCCCTCTAACAATATATCTTCTTTATAATAGGAGCCTGAAAATAAGGTAACTCCACAAGCTATGTAATTACAGTATTATCCCCTTTCTGTGAAAATTTAACATGTTCTTTCATATTTTATTATTGTGTCAGTAGCAATCCATCCTCCATTCATTCATGCACAGGTTTGAATGACTCCTCTTTTCTGATGCATGATGAGCAGAAATCGCAATTATGAAATTATAAATCTTCCTCTGGACTAAAAATAATATTATCATGTTTACACAAGGACTCCCAATGTATCTTAACCATTTCCAGTAATCATATTATCTCTCCGCAAAATTATAATTATCTGTAAGACACTTAAAATAAAGGACAATAAAACAAATTTATCTTGGCATATGCTTCCTTGAGTAGAGGCCATGAAATTACTGCATTAATATAGATCCCTTGGAATACTTTGTGGAAAACCAACATAAGAGGGAAGTTGTTTTTTATTGAAAAGTAAATACTTTAATTTAGAAGAGGATATTTAGGAAAGGTTTGATATATTGGCATAGTCTTAGCATATAAGGGTACACTCAAAAAAATGAGAAATATACTTTATGAAGATGCTACTATGAATGGCAACTCAAGATCAAGTTCTCTCTTTTCCCCCCTATGACTATAGGACTATTCCCTTTTATTGTGATATCATCAAATTAGACTAAATAGATTAAAATTTCAGAATTTCCAGCCAATGATATCTGGAAAGCACCAAGTCGGGAGGAACAGATCTTTATATGGGAATTATATTTTTAGCACTGTGGTAACTAACATTGAAATACAGGTAATGTGTAGTTTCAATGTTATGACTTGCAAATATTATCCAAATAAAGAGAGGTCAACAAAAAGGTTACTTTGGACTGTACATAAGGTCAAATTATGTCATTTAAGAAGTGTGCTGTGATAGATAAAAGGTCAGATTTGTACCTGAGTTCAAAACTAAACTCACTTATACTACTAATGCTCAGTTAATCCCTCTGCTGCTTCACTGATGCTGGTACTGAAATGTTGGGACCAACAGCACAATTTTTATTTATAAAAAAATATGTCATATTTCTTTGGGTTCTTTTTTTAAAACGGTAATAACTCTATTAAAATAGCTATCTCAACTACACTTAAGAAATTGGTGAGGTCACATGCAATCATACCCTTATATATAAGAAAGCAGAAAAATCTTGATGAGGACTCACGTTATGTGGGCAGTACTCAATATCTTGATAAAATGTTAGTCCTCGAAGCATCTTGTCATGAACATCCAGACTGCAGCACTTCGTCATCCCTGTTTCAATAGCTTTGTTGATCATAGGTAGAGGAAAAGCACAAACTCCTGAGTACTTCTGGGGCAATATGCTGTCCACCTGGCTTTCAGCAAATGCACCAAAGAGAACCAGTTCTGTTTCACTGGTGCCGATTGCTTGAGCCAACTTGGAACCAGGATTGGTAGCATGAGCTGCCTGCAAGACATTAAAAACTACATCTTTAGGCATCATGCGAAGGCTCCTCTTCCGCTTAGATTGAATGCGACAGTCCAAATTCAGCTCTCGGTACTTGCGAACCTCCATCTCTTCAGTGCTAAGCCGCACTATCCTAGTGTGGTATGAATTGGAAGAAAGATCTTCCCTTTGGACTGTCAAAAAATAGACAAACTGCCGGTATTTAAAGGAATACACATAGTGAATAGGGTATGTGTTTTGATACTGTGCCAGCACAGTTAAGGAGTGGAAAGGATAAGCAAACCCATTCAAAGTACTCTTCGGTCTCCGTATTGACACTGATTTGGGGCTGTATGTGTCTGCTATGGTGGCGTCGATGGTAGATGCAATATAAAAGTATGAAGCCGATGCCATATCAACAACTACAACTCTTGTGCCTAAGGGACTGGCCACACAGTCTGGACACTCAGAAGGCGTGTTCTGCTCAGGTGAATACAAACAGGAGGTTTCCCCAAGCAAAACAACGTCACCCTGTATCTCAATCTTATGTTGGAAACAGATACCATGTTGAGAACTTCCACAGCTATAAAGCCAAGGTTCAAAAGGATCCATCACCAAAACTTTGTTGTCTGTGTTTTGAAAAGCCACCGGCCCTTTCACTGGACAGAGAGCACAGATCTCACACTCAGTACTCCCCCAGGGCCCAGTTACTAGAGTAGACAGAATTTTCAGTTCCGAGTTCAATGTGTAAATCTTATTCCGAACTGCAACAAAGATAACATTACCAGGCTCATAGGTAACTATATTCTGGATCGAAGACGTAGCTCTGAATGTAGGGAAGTCATATTTCACTGTATAATCTCGGGTCAAGTTATAGGAGATACGTTGGCATTGCCAAGCCTTCCCAGTGATTCTTATGGGCAACAGTCCAAGAGTGAAGCAAACAAGAAATGATATGCCCATACTAAGGAGGTAGGAGTAAAGCAGAATCCTGTTATCAGAAGCTACCTCAGTTCTTCAGTTCTGTGTGGCTCAGCAATCCATCCAGAATGCTCTACCATTGCATTACAGCTGAAAAGAGAGAGAACATGGATGAATGATGCTACAGGAAAAAAAAGATGACATTTGTCTTTCTCTTATGCTGAGCCTTTCAAATAATTTTCCCCCAGCTATCATTGCATGGCTGAAATTTCAAACAACAAAGCAATCCATCACTAAAGGTTTGTTGTTGGGTTTTTTTGCATGGAGGATTTTTTTTGATCTTACACCTAAAGGCTCACCACTCTTGTGCAAGATTTATGTAGGTTATCAGTAAGCAGTCATGCAGGGAGAAGCGCTGCTGATGTTGGAAAAGGAACTGCACTCTAGGTAAGTCTGCATTTTATATCATCTTTTATTTTTAGGTTGGTTCCCATGCCCTCCAGGCAATCTATGTTGACAATCCAGGATACATAATCCAGGTTGTACAACTAGTCTGGAGATAGCTTGATACAGAGATTTATATCAAAGGAGAAAAGAAAAGGATCTAGCTTCTTATATTCATTTGACAAAGAAAAAAAAACTGGTTTAAGTAAAGGATTAACAGTTCGCTGCTCAGAGTAAGAATCTGTTTTACAGGCAAAGTTGGGTTAAGAGTCATAGCTGTGTCTTACAAGCATAGCTACCTGCATTCCAAGCATTTTGTTTTTTAAATAACAAGCTAGTAGGTTGAGCAGAATGAAAACTTGGCTTATGTTCTTATTAGGAAGATAGATAGATAGATAGATAGATAGATAGATAGATAGATAGATGATAGATAGATAGATAGATAGATAGATAGATAGATAGATAGATAGATAGATAGATAGATAGATAGATAGATACATACATACATACATACATACACATACATACACACACACACAGTTGCAAGTCATTGGGAGTTTGGGGTTATTGTTATATCCGACACTTCTCTAGAGTTTTGATTACACAAATAAAAATTAAATTCATTACCAGAGCATTATTTTTTTTTTACAGTTTTTGTGGACACCAAAATCAGCAGCCATCAGTGTGGCCGCTGAATATGCCTTTGGCTGTTGAAAGTTTCTGTCTATGAGAATTTACCTTCCTTAAGTTCACCAGGTTAGGGTATGTTGGTGAAGCTTTCCGTGCGACCACCTGGCCTAGGGGTAGAGAGGAAAGCTGAAGGGGACGTTCAAGTGCCGTCCTCCTTCGATTTGGTCCGTTTCCCCCCCTCCCCTTCTTTCTCCTTATCAAAGAAAATCCGTCAATCAAAGGAAGCGGTAGGCTTTTCAGTGGACAGGCGCTTTCTCGTTCCTGAACAGAAGTTTTACAGCTTTGTTTTAAGGCCGGGGTTCTAAACGAGAAAACCAGCCGCGACTCGAAGAGGCAAGAGGGGAATAACACGCGCTCACCTCGACAGCCAGCCGCGATTCCCGACAGCCTCTCCTCAGCACTCCCTCGCCCCAGGACTCACCCGTCCACAGCCGTCGACGCGGAGCCGAGGAGTTCAGCGCTTGGCGGATACCTGGCCAGGAGGCTCCCAGGAAAGAAGGCAGAATCGGGACGGAATCGGGCGGGGTCCTAACCCGCCGGGCGGGGCCAAGGCAGCTTCCCCTCCTCTTCCTCCTCCCCCTTCCACTTGCCGCCTCCAAAACTGACCCCCGATGCGTCGCATCTCTTCTGCTGGAGGGCAGCTTGGGACAACCTGGTTTCAAGTGTCCTGCTTTTGCTTAGAAGGCCACTGCTTTCCTCCTCATTCGGACCCGCTAGGGCTGCGAACGGGATCTACTTTCTCAATACCCTTCGGGAGCAACTCGAGGTCCCGCCGTCTTTCACCCGAAGTACGATTCTGACGTCAGCAGAAGAATGTGCTTTTAAAGTATCCAGGAGCTGGGATTGCTTCAGACTCCTGGCACGCCCTTCCCTCCCCTCCCCTCTATGCAATAGCTATACCAGGGGTAGGCAACCTTGGCTCTTTTATGACTCGTGGACTTCAACTCCCAGAATTCCTGAGCCAGCACAGCTGGCTCAGGAATTCTGGGAGTTGAAGTCCACGAGTCATAAAAGAGCCAAGGTTGACTACCCCTGCTCTACAGTATCTCTCAGAAACTTCTCTGGAGATTTATATCCAGGCTCTAATTTCTACCGACTTCCTGGAATTGAGAGTTAGCGGGGGGGGGGGGGGGGAAGCTATTTAATCTTCCATCTCTCGCTGCTTCTAGCCCCAAATTTGTAGCATACAGTACTCTTCCTAGGCGGAGGGAGTAAGGCAATTTCTTCCCTTGCTGTTCAGATAAGCACAGATCTCACACTCAGTACCCCCCCAGGGCCCAGTTACTAGATAGAGTAGACAGAATTTTCAGTTCCGAGTTCAATGTGTAAATCTTATTCCGAACTGCAACAAAGATAACATTACCAGGCTCATAGGTAACTATATTCTGGATCGAAGACGTAGCTCTGAATGTAGGGAAGTCATATTTCACTGTATAATCTCGGGTCAAGTTATAGGAGATACGTTGGCATTGCCAAGCCTTCCCAGTGATTCTTACGGGCAACAGTCCAAGAGTGAAGCAAACAAGCAATGATATGCCCATACTAAGGAGGTAGGAGTAAAGCAGAATCCTGTTATCAGAAGCTACCTCAGTTCTTCAGTTCTGTGTGGCTCTAATTTCTACCGACTTCCTGGAATTGAGAGTTAGCGGGGGGGGGGAGGGAAAGCTATTTAATCTTCCATCTCTCGCTGCTTCTAGCCCCAAATTTGTAGCATACAGTACTCTTCCTAGGGGCGGAGGGAGTAAGGCAATTTCTTCCCTTGCTGTTCAGATAAGCATAAGAACACCCAGGTAACTCTTAAGATTTTTCTTGAACGTGCAACACTAGCTTTATCGATTTCCCGCCCCCAAATTTTCACCGATCCTTTGAATTCCAGAAAATAGTCACGTTTTCCTGCTTAACTGGTGACAGAATCCGAAGTGTGTATACTTCATTCCACTTCACATGCTGTTTTGGAAGGGCCCTAAAACTTCATAGGTTGACTCTTCATTTAATCAATGCCCTCAAAATGTATTTCCTCCTCCCCTCCTCCTGTACATTTCGTTAGCAAGTTGGGTCAGCAAGGGTATTACTGTATTACCCCATCCAAAGATTATGGTGACCTTGGTGGAAAAAGATGACTGGGCAGGATTTCTCACTGTCTGTGTTGAACAGCTAATATTCTTCTTCCCTTGTGGTTAATATGAGCAGTAGGAGAAGTTGAAACAATTCTGCAGCTCATCTCCGATAAGAGAAGTCCATTAAGATCAGTAAGAACCGACCAGCCTTCACGAAGCTCAAAATAAACAGGAAATGAATTGAAAATGATCCGAATCTCCCACTAAATCTGACTAACTGATTTGCAGATTGACAGTAATTTCTAAGATTTCATCTTCTTTTAAGGAAGCATCAGCAGGAGGCTGCTGTAAATGAAGAAAATCAGAAACAGGTTTTTTTTTTCTTCTTGGAAAAATAATGGGTTACGTTTTGAAATTCCTAGGCATTGCACCCTCGGAATCCTCTTGTCTCAATTTCCAGTCAAGACTAGTTGAATGCTTCCTACAACTATTTTTCTGTGTGCGCCTTTGAGTCAGTGTTGACCCCTGGAGGCTGCCTGCACAGATCCCTGAAGTTTTCTCGGTAAGGTTTTTCAGAAGTGATTTCCAATTGCCTGTTTCCTAAGACTGAGAGAAAGTGACTGGCTTAAGATTAGCCAACTGGCTTTGTGCCTAACAGAGAGGGGCTTGAACTCACAATCTCCCAGTTTCTGGCATGGTGCCTTAATCACTATATCAGACTGACTCTTTTCCTGGAAACTGCTACTTATTATACACTTACAAAAGTGCTTCCTGCTTTGGATACCATTCATTTCTATAGTGGAACTCAAGACTAAACCTGGTAGCCTGAAAACTGCCGACACCTTGCTTTGGACAGCCTAAATTGCCTTTCTGCCAGTCACAGCTGGCAATGTTGATATTACTGAGAAAAGAACAAGGGGAGAGTCATAGGATTGGAAAGGACCTTGGAGACCTTAATCCAACCTCCTGTCCAGGACAGGAATCTTCGTATCTTCTTCCCAGATTAATATTTGTCCAGACTTTTCCTAAAAGCCTCCATGGATGGAGTACCTACAGCATGGCATGGCTCTCACTATCAGGAAATTCCTTCTTGGTTCAAGTTTGGATCTCTCTCTATTAAGTTTCTACTCACTGCCTTTGCTACTGAGTAAAGTCTGTCTGTGGCAGCCTTTAAAATATTTGACATATATAATGTCCCTTTTTAGCCTTCTCTTCCTTGAAAACTTACTTTGTTTAACTATTCTTAGTAGGATGTAGCCTCCAGATCCAAGAAGAGATTAAGCAGTCTCTTTTTTTACTCTTCATTTTCCATTCTGGCACAGCCTAGTACAGAATGGTGTCAACAGCCAAAGTATAAACTTGAGAATCTGACTCCATATGGCAAATGCTTGATGTGGGACAGCTGTACTGAGTCGCCAAGCAAATACTGTCAGATTTGAAAAGGAAATAATTTGTCGTTGACGGATTGTGGATATTTATCATTCGTCAATAACTGAATTAGTGTGATTGTTTCACAAAAGGGCAAGTAAACAATACAGTCAATTTGAGAGTAATTATTCTGTTTACAATGTTCATGGCTTTTTCTTCTTGTCTTTATTTGCATTATTATTAATGCAGATATATATGTGTCTGTATAGAAGTACTTTGTACTTTGTGTCCTTTTACTTAATTTGATATAGTAAGTAATGTTTGATAGGGAAATGTGCCTAAAAGGATATGAACTATAAAGATAATCACTGCTTCCTTGGCACAAATACTTACATGTTCTCTTTCAGATATGGAACTGATTAGAGTATAGGCAATAATAGTAAGTGGAAAGCATTGGCCTCCCAGCAGGTAGCGTGCATGTGCATGCATGTGCACGTGCACACATGCACACACACACACACACACCAAACAAACAAACAAACAAACAAACAAACAGGAAAGTTTTTCTTGAAGTTATTTCATGTTTCCCTGAGGAGCCTCCATGTGAATTTTTCAACTGTGGTTTCAACCTAACCAGAATGTTATGACATTAAAAAAAATATGTTTTGTTACATTAGACAAACATGGGAACTTAATGTCCCCCAGATGTTGCTGAATTCAACATTCCAGTAGTACCCAGCAACATTCAAAGTAGTTTATTCTACTCCCTGGCATATCCTGGTATGGACTGAAGTCCACTTGACCTGGAGTGTTGTCCTTTGATATAGCTATATATATAGTAGTCATAGGTTGTGGAGAAATAGAAAAGAGTGCATAATGTAAAAGTATTGTGGAAAGCATAGATAATGGCTCAGTTCATCAATCATTGTAGGTCATAATATAGTTTGTTTATCCTCTAGCTGTTCTATGAATATAGCATTGATTGACATGTATGTTGATTGGCAAACTATAGATGATGGTTTAGTGGAATGTTGAACACAACAAATCGTAGTTTATTCACCAAAACATAGTGGAGCAAACCATGTGTCAACTTTGAAAATGAGCGTGGCTGCGGCCATCTTCCTTATTCATTTTCGGTTGACACATTGAAAGAAGGGAGGGGGGATTACCAGTCAAAATAAACCTTTGTCCCATGGGAACCAAGGTCATTGGCTGCTCCTGAGACTGCAGGCTGGGCATTTCATGAAAAGCCCACCAAGAAGATGTATTGGGGAATGTAGTTGCTTGCATAGCTTTAGGGGTGGGATTCTTAACTTTGTATTGGGGAATTGTTACGTGTGTCTTCAGACTTGCTTTCACTTTTATCATGCCGATACTTTATAACTAATAAACATGTACTTTGAGGAATTTCCAAGCCTCGGAGTTCTGCTTTATTTGTCTCTGTCTGTCGGAACCATGACACTATGCCTGAGTTTATTGGGAATATAGCCAAATGCAAGGATCTTCTGAATAGAATAGAATAGAATAGAATGGACCTTGGAGGTCTTCTAGTCCAGCCCCCTGCTCAAGCAGGAGAACCTATACCATTTCAGACAAGTGACTGTCTAGTCTCTTCTTAAACACCTCTAATGATGGAGCGATCACGATTTCTGAAGGCAAGCTGTTCCACTGGTTAATTGTCCTCACTGTTAGGAAGTTTCCCCTTAATTCCAGGTTGCTTCTCTCTTTGGTTAGTTTCCAAACATTGTTTGGTGCTTTGGAAAATAGTTTGATGCCCTCTTCTTTGTGATAGCCCCTCCAATACTGGAATACTGCTATCATGTCGCCCTTATTTCTTCTTTTCTTTAGATTAGCCAAACCCAAGTTCTGCAGCTGGTCTTCATATGTTTTAGTTTCCAGGCCTTTGATCATCTTAGTTGCTCTTCTCTGAACTTTTCCCAAAATTTCAACATCTTTTTTGTAGTATGATGACCAAAATTGGTTGCAGTATTCCCTGTGTGGTCTTACTAGGGTTTTATAAAGT